CTGATTCATTGCTGAACCCCTGTTCAGAGGGAAGAGGAAGAAGGTTATCACAATAAGTCCAGGTTATGTGCCCCCAACCTTTCTTCTCCCATTGCTTTGTGAATGGAGCTGTGCAGCCAGAGATTTATTTGTGCCATGTGTTACACATTAATTCTAACTTTGCCATAATTCATGATGACAGGCCATGGTTATTTCCTACTGTAGACAATATGTAGCATTTATCTTAGCAAGATACAGTGTGGGGGGGGGGAATAAACCTGCAGCTCAACTCTGATACATGGCACGCTGTCAAATTAAAGAGAGTGAGCATCAGATTCTACCCTCTTAAATTCACAAAGGCACTTCCCGCTGAAGTCACCAGGCCAAATTTCACTCCAGTACTGGTGTTTATGGTAGTCCACTGACTTCGATAGGGGTGCATATGATGACAGAATTTGACCCATGTAGAGTTACAGACCTGTGTGTGAGGACTAAGCTTGGCCTAAAGGTGTTCATACATCTACACATACTTGAACTGGAAGCAGTACATCAATTCTGCAGTGACTTTGCATAATCTTGGCTCATTGTTTTCTCTAACTTTATGGAACCTGGGAAAATTGGTATTATGTATGGATCTGTGATCCAGATAGCAGAGTGGGTCACATCAGAAGCAGAACTGAGCTAAAGTTCTCATGTTGAGAACCAGAACTGAATCTTCCCCAAGTCCAGGGATGGTTTGATTTCATGCTCCAGTATGGAACTCTCTGGGCATAGGGCAGAATTACCCCGTCTACGTGGGCTCTGTCAGCCTGGGGCTGGTACTTTTTCACATTACATGCATCTTTTACCTTTTCACTTTGGACTAAAGAATCATTGAAGGTAACTAAAAACGTTGTCTGGGATAGTGCTAATTTGAGCTCATCTTTACTAATTCTTCATTCAGCAACTTTCCTTTTCCAAATTACACTGATACATGTCACCGTTTTGAGTGTTTAAAAAGCAACTACTGACCATGTCCTACAGTTACTTGCCTGAGTCTCATTCAGATCATTGCTTTCTCAGTAAGACAGCTTTGAGAGAGCATGTGTAATTAAACATGATGAATTGGATTAGTTTCCTAGTATCTGGAGAGCAGTGAGAAGTTTGCTTTGCTAATTTCAGTCAAAAGTTTGTTTCCTATCTTTCAGCATTAATTGTTTCAGTGGGGTTTTTTGGGGTTTTTTTAGTTTTTGCTGGGGTCCATTGTGCGTATAGGTTTGTTTATTCCCTGCTTTAATTTTATGCTAATCTTCAGTCAAATATCTTAGTCTGAGTTCAAGAATATGTAACTGCCCATTAGGCATGCAACTCTGCCATCCCATGCCAGCAAAACCTTTATGCTAATGCAGTAACACTTCTACACAGCACCAGCCAAGGTTCTTCCTAAAGATATATACCAGATTACTAGGGCTTCTGAGATCCTCCTACAGCTCGTCTGTATTTCTCATGTGTGCAACTGGAATGGTTTTCATGTTAATGAACCGTTATCTTTCCTTACTGTTGGCTTCTCAGATTACAGAAGAAGGAGCTGGTTACTGACAGCTTCAGTTTGGGAACTAATGGCCTTGTAGCAGCTTGCTAGTGCAAGATAACTCCTAATCCAGATCTGGATAATGGAAGATGCCCTCTGCATGAGCAATGAAGAGTCAGTGTAGTGTCTCCTATGCCTCCCCTTGTTTTTGGCCAACCCGGAAGGTTGAGGTGGGGGAAGAGAGATGGGAATTTGGGGGTGGGCTGAGAGAAGAAGTACGGCCACAACAGCATGGCAGCTGGCATAAATTAGAGCAACCCTGAAGCTGCTCAAATGTATACTGGGGTGGATCTTGTATGAGGACAGAGAGCATAAAGGCACTTTGTCCTCTTGCTTCATTCCACCATGAGTTGCACTAAAAGTTCCATGGCTACAAATGAAGATTATACCTAATATCTTGACTAATAGCATTGCTGGGAAGGATATATAGGAAAAGCATATGAATTATATGAAGGCTTGAAAAAACATTCAAACAATAAGATAAAAGAAAATTATAGGAAAGAGATATTCTTGTTCTGTAATACTACACTTTTTTAAAAAAAGGCATAGGAAATAAATTTGAAACATAAGTGATGTTGCTGTTACCTATGGCCTCTTACCAAGACAACAGCATATAGCCTGGATTCCAATTAATGGAAAAACTTATCATAAATGGCCATGAAATTAGTGATTTTTCCAGAACATTATGAGATCACACCACAGCTGCATGTATGTTTGCTGCATACATATTTTTCAAAATATATTATTGGAATTATACAGGCAGTCTTTTTAGAATTCCAGTCATCTCTGTGGTCATTCAGTCCTGCAATTAACAACCAATCTTTTAGAGAAAACAAACTAACAAACAGACAGCTGCTCATAATGAATCATTTGGTAGGGAGGGCAGAATAAGCAGTGCATTCATAACTATAATTCACGTGCTTCTCCTGGTCCAGACAAATGAGGCGATTAGTTTTTATAGGCCCAAATGGTTCCTGGCTGGAGTAGGTCTGGCACTGACTAGAATTTGTGTGAGAGATTTCTGACACATATTTCAGGAAAACGCAGAATGTGGATTTTTGCAATTTCTGGAGTAAAAAAAATCGGACAAAGAAAAGAAAGGCGTCCTAATACATGGATAGTCTGCCTCCATATGAAATGTCAGTGGCAATCATTCAAAGGTGCGCAGATGTCATGAAAGGGTGGATAAAATGGGTGCAGATTGCGGGTAGTAGTGTCAGACTCTGAAAGGGTTGTTCTTGCCTGGGTCTTTTATCAAAAAAAGCAATTGAAAGACCTTAAGCTAAAATAACAGCCTGTCCATTTCAAAAATGCTCTGTGTTGTATGTGTAACCCCTGCAGCCCCAGGATGCCTTGATGGAATTGCAAGGACACAAAGGACCATGTTTGTTCTAGAGTTCATAGTATCTGTTTGGGCAGATGGAGGTTTCACTGGTTAACTTGATGCTCTGACAGTGCCTCTGTCATACAGTTGTCACTATGTAAGGTAAAATGCTGCACTTTTGGATCAAAATGTTCAACAGTGATCAATAACTAACTTTCATCAGCCAATGAATCATTAACTGGTAGTAAATAAGAGTGTTCCTACTCTTCAGAACCTTTGGTTAGGGAGTTTTGACAAGATAGCAAATAAGTTAAAAGTTCTCATTCACTGTATTAAATTAAACTTCATACTTAATAAAATATGTAAGAAAATATTTTGTACAGTTTTTGGTAGACCTGTATGCAGGCAGTTTAAACACAGTCTATATGGATTTTGGACCGCACGTGTAACTTCTGGCATTGACATTTGGTGGTATTTAAAGAACCTAGTCTAGTACAGTATTGAGATCCAAAACTTAGGCTGCCTATACATGTGCTCGTTTGCGTTCTAACTAGAACATGTCAGAGCAGACTCGATTAATCAAGTCTGCTCTGTGTTCTAAATAGAATGCTCCAGCATCACCTCAGTGTCACGTGTATTAAGCCCCCCATGCGTTTTTAAATGGCCATAGGGGCATTTTATCTAAACGCCATCAAATGAAGTGTCTTGTGGCCATTTTAAAACACTTTGGGGCTTAATACACGTGACAGTGAGCTATTTCAATTAGATCGGCTGTTTGGGAACCACTAATTAAACTGCCCTCTCCCCACCCCCAAGCACGCGTATAGGCAGCCCTGGGTTCTGTAAAAGGTTTTACAAAATGTTTTCAATAGGGAAGCTTCTATTATTACTCTTTTGTATTATTTCATTAAAACTAAATTGTTGTTGCTGTTTAAATATTACCCTGCAATGTTTATAATCCAAAACTCAAAGCCTAGGGGGCTACTGTAACAACATCAGATAATAAAGATGAATGCGACCAGTTTGTTTTCATGATCTTAGATGGGTGAAGTCAGTGATAATGAGTGTAAAGGCTGAAAAACAAATGCAGTTTATGAAACACTTTCCATTTTGGTGTGCCAATCTATAACCCAGGCAAGAGAACTTGGTGGGGAGGGGTTGCTTTCACAATATCTCTTTTGTTTGTTTTGTTTTACCTTTCACTGTGCCTTTAAATTTAATCAAACTGTACTGTCTGTCTAGAGGAACAACTGAGGATGCCTCAGGATGTCTACAATCACTCCATTCCTATTAGAAAGAGCTTGCCTTTTCGTTATCCTAAAAGCCATATGGCTAATAGTGGAAAAAAAAGAAATGTTATTAAAACAGTACTATATCTCTAAATCATTTTAATGGACCACCATTCATATGTTAGTTACTTAATGGAGAGAGAAAAATCCCAACGTGTTTTTCTCGCTCTTGTGCTAAGTCAAATCTACACTATTCTGTGGCTTCCTTCCACTGTTCATCTTGTGTTAATCTAGCAGTGTCTTTCTTTGATGTGATTGACCAACTAGATAATTTTATTAGTAATACTGAATGTAACATTTTGGGTTAAGGCCACTTGCGGTGTACTGAAGATCTCACCAACTCATTTATTTGCACGTCAATACTTTCCTGAGGACGTTTGGATATCTTGTTCCCTTTTACTTTCACCTACTGTCCTGGGATTTTTTTTTTTGCTTTGTTTAGCCAGCACAATTCTCTGAGCTGTGTTTCACCACCACCTGCACTAAGGATTTTTGCTTTCTTCATGTCTTACTTTCCATGCGCTTGTTTCACTCAAGGTGCCTGCCTCAGACTTTGGTGCCTGGGTTCTGTTCAGGACGACTGGGTCACTGTTTTGGGGCCCAGTGAGAGCCCAGGGAGTGTTTCTAAATCAGACAGAAGGCAGGATAGGTTTGCACTAACTAAATCGGGTTTTGTAAGTAGTGGCTTCACTTCATCAGACATGAAGGGACTGCAGGGGAGACGGTGATTAGAATACAAAAGGCAGGGAATAGGGAGTCAGCTGCCTTTATAAATCAGTTGGCTTTTGGGAACTTCTGAGGATCCTAATGCTTGTTGTCTTTTTTTTTTTCTCTGTAGGTATTTGTATAAAATGTGGAAAAGGTGTGTATGGAGCAAGCCAGGCATGCCAAGCAATGGGTAACCTCTATCATACCAACTGCTTCACATGCTGCTCTTGTGGTAAGTCAAATGTATATTATTCTTTAGCTTCCTCCACTGTTTATCTTTTGTTAATATCTAGCGATCAACCTGGGTGGTTTTCTTGCATTCCTTACTGTGGCAGAATTCCCATTCTCGCCAAAGGCTGCTGATTAAGGAAACTGCTGAACTATGAGCATCCAATTGTGCTTTCTTGGACAGGAGGACTTGGACCTAGAATTCCATTGACTTCATGGGTTATAGTTTCAAAGAGGCTTCAACGAGGCCTCCTTAATACTTCCCATGTTTAAATTGCTGGTGTATTTGGAGCTGCATATGTGCTACCAGATCTACATATGAATGTTAGAATGTATACAGGAAAGATCAATTTTTTATTTAATTTGTGCATGTGCCAACTTTGTCATTTACTTGTACAAATGATAATGTCCCAGAATTGCATATTGCATTTGAATGTGCAGGATCAAATGAATACTGTGTGTATAAAAACTAGCTCTAAAATTACTGCAGTATTTGCTTTTTAAAGTTTCTGGGGAAACAGTGCAGTTAGCTCATTGCCTTGTCCAGAATTTTTCTTGCAATTCACACTATATTTTATAATTCCTTTTTGTATGTACATGCATATAAAAGGGATAGATTTTTCTTTGTGAATTTTAGTTAAAGACCTAGCTTTGCTTGGGAGAAAACGTATTTTCAGTTTCCTCTCACTTATATTGATGTATTTCAACAAGGAGCATATTTTAACTTTTTCTGAGAAATTCGTAAGTTTTAGAACACTAAAGCCAGAACTTTCAGAAGTGGGTGCCTGAAGTTAAGCAATGAGATCCTTATTTAGTGCTAGCTTTAAGAACTGCAAAGCATTTGCAAAGTGTGGCTGATTCCAAGAGGAGCTGTCCATGCTCAGCACCTCTGCAAGATGGGTCATTTTTATCAAGGTACCTAAATATGGATTTAGGTTCCTATTATATGATGGTATTGGACTAAATGTAGAAGATCTTCTTGTGATGCATATACACAGACAAAAGGCTTGGCCTCAGCAGAATATGCTGAGTGTAAATTGTTTATAAAAAGGATTAATTAAGGATTAGAAAAAGAGTAAAAGATTATTGGCACAAAGCCAAATAACTTTCTAATGAAAGGACCATTGTAAAGTTCACTTATGAAAGAATTTGCAGCTTTCCCTCTCATGTTTTGTATAGATAGATAAATATGTGTTTAAAAAAACTGAATATAGAGTGTAATTAGCCTCATACATCCCTTTGGACCCTTATAAATGTATAGAATAAATTTGTTATAAAACTTAAAGCTCACTGGCTTTCATGAAACAGTCCCAGCATAACACTGGATGAGAAGCTATTTTGTTGGCTCCCAAAACATTTGAAGTACTTGGGCATCCTGCTAAATGGAGGATTACAAAATACGATATCAGATAATATCTGTGCATCCTTGCCAAAATTAACTTACCCTAATTACATGGGGCAAATTACAGCTCTCTGGAAGAAGGACTCAGTGAAAAGGCAGTCTAGACATTCACTCACTTCCACAAGGATTTGTTTGTAAGTCATGCTATTCTCAAACAAACGGAAGAAAAGATTTTTGGAGGTAAAGGAAACCATTTTATTATCAAAATGTAATTTAAAGTTAGTTGTTCAAGTATTGCGGTAACGGTTCAAATTGGCCTCCCAGTGTTTGTGCAACTGGTGACCATGGAACAGGATGCATCTTAGGACATGTTCCCGCAGAACTTAAACTGTGGCAAGCTCCCCAGGAGTGCTAGTGGAGCTCCATGATTCACACGACTGATATGAGACACTGCACCACATAATGCACCATGTAGGAAACAATGCATGGTGTTGTCTCTCGAGCTTATCGTTACATTCATGCTAATGCAGTGGAGCCAAGCCCTGGAAAGAACATTCTGGCTGCAAGCTCCATTTCTGCTGGATTCACCTTAAAACAAAATTTACGAGTGACCCAGTACGTGTTTATTTTTTGGCAGTGTGTGCTGGAATGGTAGCTGTACTATTGATATTGCAGCACAGGTCCCAGCACAGGTGAAATGCATTTAATCCAAACATACATTCAACTACTTACAGTGAGCCCAAATCCCAAACCCATAACCCTGGGCTTTGCAAGAGACCTGAAAAGGTTTTTACACAAACAAAACCATTTCTCAGCTTCACACTTGATTTGGGACAATAGGATTCCTGGAACGGCTTAAAAGAAATCTTCAAACAAGGCAGACCAGTACTGGAGGCAAGATTAGTGGATTGTAAGAACAAGAAACAGTGCCTCTACCTCCAGAATGAGTAACTGAAAAGTGTAACATGAATCAGTGGCTGGAAGCTGAAGCTAATTTAATTCAAATTAGAATTTAGACACAGACTTTTAAAAACAAGGGTGATTATTAACCATTGGAACAAAGTAAGAAAGGAAAGGGTGGATTTTCCATCTCTTGGCGTCTTCCAGAAAATCACTGAGTCTTCATTTGAAGATGCACAGTATGCAAACATAAGTTCTGGGTTCAGTTAAAGGGTAACTGAGTGAAATTGAATGGCCTGTGATATAGAGGAGGTCAGACTAGATTTATTCTTCATGAGATCATAGGAGAGTAGAGGTTGGAAGAGACCTCATGAATGCATTTAGTCCAGCCCCCTGCTCAAGGCAAGATCATCCCTGACCAAACCATCGCAGAACAGCGTTCCCCAGTCGGTGTGCCATCAGCTATGTCCAGGTGTGCCACAGTCTTGGGGAGGCGTGGCTATAGCCACTGTCGCCCTGGCGCCCCAGTTGGCTCCGCACCGATACCCTTGCCTCCCTCCC